GCAACCTCAATACCAAGGAAATATTTCAATTGTCCAAGGTCCTTTAATTTGAATTGGTTCTTCAAGGATATTTTAACATGTTCGATTTCTTGTAAGTCGTTCCCTGCAATGATGACATCATCTACATATATAAGAAGGGCGATAAATTTACCATTCTGGGATCGGACGAACAAAGAATAGTCTGCCTTTGATTGCATAAAATTGGCTTGCTTTAGAGCGGTGGAAAGCTTAATGAACCATTGTCGTGAAGCTTGTTTGAGACCATATAATGATTTGTGGAGTTTACAAACTCGAGTCTCCCCCTTTCGTCCGAGGCCAGGAGGTAGCGACATATATACGTCTTCGTCGAGGTCCCCATGCAAGAAGGCATTGTTGACATCTAGTTGGTGAAGATGCCATTGTTTGGTTGAAGCTAACGCAAGAAGTAGGCGAACAGTTACAAGCTTTGCTACAGGGGCAAAGGTTTCATGGTAATCTAGCCCTTCAATTTGATTATACCCTTTTGCCACTAATCTGGCCTTGTAGCGTTTAACTGTCTCATCTGCACGAAGTTTGATTTTGTAGATCCATTTGCATCCAATTGACCTCTTTCCAGACGGTAATGGTATAAGGGACCATGTGCCATTGACGATGAGTGCATCAAGTTCTTCTCGCATAGCAACCTGCCACTTTGGATTACGAGCGGCTTCTACAAAGGTGCTTGGCTCCTTTTCAATTGAAAGGGCGGTGGTAAAAACACGATGTTTAGGTGATAATCTAGCATATGACAAGACGTCAGTTAATGGGTAGAAGGTACCTGTGGTTTTGGCCAACACGGAGTTCGATGTTGGGGGGTGTCTTGAGGGAAGAGAAATACCAACATGATACTCACGCAAATAGCTAGGCATTTTTGTTGTTCTTATTGATCTTGGTGATGGTATTTGTTGGTCTAGAGTTGCAGGTTGTTCTGAGGATAAATTTGAAGGTGGGATAGTCTCTTCAGAGGGGATTTCGTTGTCTTGAGAAGGTGAAATATTTTCTTGAGGTAATTTATCGAAAGAAGGCATGTCGGTGTGGGTAGTGAAGTGCGGAATGGAGCCTTTATCTGTAGCAAAAGAAGGGGAAGGGAAAGTGTTTTCATGGAAACGAACATCTCGTGATACAAAAATCTTCCCAGTTGAAAGGTCATAGACTCTATAACCCTTTTGTGCATATGGATACCCTAAGAAAAGACATCGAATGGCTCTGGGATCGAACTTGTTTGGTCGTTGATGATGTGTTGAGGCAAAACAAAGACACCCAAACACACGCAAATGATCATATGTTGGTTTTGTTTGGAAGAGCATTTCAAAAGGAGTCTTTCCTTGGAGAAGGGGTGTTGGTGTTCGGTTGATTAGGTAGGTGGCAGTTAGGATTGCATCTCCCCAAAATTTTTTGGGTAAATTAGCTTGAAATAATAAGGCTTGGGCTATTTTGAGTAAGTGACGATGTTTTCTTTCGGCTACACCATTTTGTTGCGGAGTGGAGACACAACTTGATTGGTGAATGATGCCTTTGTCGAGATAAAAATTCCTCAATATGAATTCAGGACCATTATCACTTCGAATGATTTTGACTTTTAGATTGAATTGTGTTTCAACGAGGTTTATGAACTTGATGATGTAGGAGTGTGTATCTGATTTATGGTTCATCAAATAAGTCCATGTGCATCGAGTATAATCATCAACAATTGTGAGAAAATATCGCGCT